TAAAAAAAAAATTGAACCATCATATCTATTGTCTTGTATAAATAATCTTCCCGCTCTTTATTGAGACGGGCCTCCGGAGCTGTCTTTTCGTCTTCGAGAACCTAGATGGAGTTTTTCAGCATTGTAACTTCCAAGCGTAGGTCATTGTTTTCGTCCTTCTAGCTCTGCATTGAATGCATGTGTTGTTGCATAGTTGCTATCTTACCCTCCATCGTCTTCAATTTGTTTATTTCTTGATCTAATTGTTGTTTGAGCTCAACAAGCTGGGTTGCTAGCCTTTTGTTATCGTCTTCGATTGTTGCATTTGTTGTTGTCAACATTTCAGCTTCATCTGTTGCAATCACTGTTGACATTTCAGACTGCAGATCTGCAATATGTTGTTTGTATCGGTTTTCCCTTTTTATATGTTTGGAGATTTCCTACCGCAGTGAGGTGTAAGTGTTGTCATGCTTGCTTGTTGATCCATGATGTTGGCTGCCCACTGTTTCTTTGATTTTCTGTTTCCTCTGCCAGATTGCAATGGGGACATTGTCCTCCATTTCTTCGTCAGTATAGTTGTCAGGTTCGTCTTCATCGCTGCTGTATTCGATGATGATGTGACCATTTAATAGACCTTTTTCGCGATTTGTTCCAATAATTTTGTTAGCGCACATTTCTGATGACGTAATTGATGCAATTGCTTTTACTGACAGTAGTTTCGCCACTTCTGTTAGGTTCCACATTAAGAATCTGGGGAATGCGTTTGGGGTCGTCGACACTATCAGATTAGTGTGCTCGCATGGCCAGTACTGCACAAATTTTACAGGAAGAATTGTTAGTTATTAACCCAGACGCACACGTGTTTACGCATTTACATTAACATAACTACACATTACCATATGTATCTACATATTACTATAAAATATGATAACGTTGTATGCAGAATCCTCACCAGCAGTAATGGTGTGCACCCTGTCACCTTATGAGCAGAGGATGATCTAACATGGTCTCATAAGAATCCCGCGCCCAATTGTATCTGCCCATATTGACTATGCTGTCGCAATATTTGAACATCCACCAAGCAACGATGCTTGGTGATGAATTGAAGAAGCAGTTACACATCAGGTGTAGGACGATCAACCTGATTACGTCCTCGACGTCTTCTTGTACCCTCCTCGCCAACGATGTTGTTAGCTGATATTTTTACATCCGAAAAGGTTAATTGACCTATAATTATGGAATTTCCAATGCACGAGGTCGTCAATTGGCCGTTGGGATCTGTCGAAACGCATTCGTACAGGACCAGATTTTATACAGAAAGTGAGATTCTTGCCTCCAATGACAAATGCTTGTGCTTTTGCATTGTAAATCCTCAGTATTTTCAAGACACTGGTTTGCGTTCCAGTAACTGAAGCCTCGTTTGTTTTGTGTTTGGAAAAGGGGAGGACAAGGTTGTAAAATGGTGTACGTCGGAGGCAATGATAGTGCCCTGGTCGGAGGTGAACATCCGAGAAGAATTTAATCGTTTTATGCAGCCTCGAAAGGTACTGCGAACTGTAGCCCCCCTTGGTCCAGAGTTTCGTAAAAACTACCTGTTGTTTTCACCGATTTTGCCTTTTTCACCATTGTTCTAGGGTTCGTCGACGACCTTTACAGCGGCGGCGAAGACGCGCGAGTAGATATATTGGTCGGACGGAGGTGAACGACGGTGGCTTGCGGTTTCGACGGTTTCCGGTGGCGGAAGGAAGCTTGGAGAGGACGATCTTTTTGCTGTGTGATTTGTTTCGTGTAATTGTGTTTTTTGGGAAAATGCGCTTTTAGTGAGATTTGATTTTGTTCAATTATTTATTTCTTCACAACATCTTTTTACTACGGGGTAGTAATGTACTTTCCTATCTCCAGGGGTATGTCAAAGGAAGAATCCTCCTTGAGTTTATCCCTAGTTTAGTAGCCTCTTAGGAGTATATAAAATAAGCCCATACTTGTAATGCCTGACTGATATTACTATATTATCCCTGTCCATAAATTTATTACTAGCTGAATTATTAGTAATTCTAATTTTACAAATAAATTTACAAAAATAATTACACTTTAAAAGCTTTCGTACAAGGTCTTTTATTTGGAAAACCGTATATTTATGCAATATAAAATAATATAATTAAAATCAATTTCTTATAAAATGTCAAAATTGAAAGCTATCCTTTAATTTACTGTGACAGAACAGACTTCTTCCCTCCTCGAGTCTTGCCCCTTTCGAATGAAAATCATTTTCATAATAAAATAAAAATCCGATGGGAATAGATAGAATAAGATAACTCCGTTCCAATCTTCACCCTTATTTAATAATGTAAAACTCGATAAATTGTTTCAAAATATTTTCAGAAATATCGTCTAAAAAATCAATATAGTGATTTTAGTGCTGGGATTTTTTTTGAATTCAAATGAAAACTATTATTTTAAAATAAAATAAAAAACCGACCGTATTAGGCGGAATAAGAAAACTTTGTTCCAATTTTCACCCTTATTTAATAAGAATTATTAGTGAAAACCCCCAAATATATTGGGTATAATCTAAAACTCGATAATTATTTTCAAAATAAATCCAGAAATATTGTTTGAAAAATCAAAATACTGTCTAAAAAATTAACATGGTGTTTTAAAATCGGCATTTTGGAATTTGAATGGAAAATATTATTTCAAAATAAAATAAAAATTCGATTGAACTAGACAAAATAAGAAAACGCCGTTCCATTGTCTCAAAATTGTGATTTTTGGAATTGACTAAAGCGAAAATTGGAATGGAAGATTTTTGACTCCCCAATTCCTATAAGTTTTTTATTTTATTTTATTTTATTTTTTGGTTTGAAATGATGATTTTTATTTAAATTCCAAAAATATCGATTTTGAAACAATATTTCAAATTTTTAGACTATATTTTTATTTTTTGAAAAGTATTTCTAAAAATATCTTGAAACAATTCATCAAGTTGATTTTTTTGGAATTTACGTCATTTTGATTTAATATTTAATTTAAAAATTCATTTTCATGTAATGTTGAAAACTGAAGCCACGTAATTGAAAATGTTAGTAAAGTATTAACACGAAAAATGTAATTTTCCCTTGGAAATGGACGAAATTTAAAATTTATGTTTGGCTGCGGCTATATGCAAGACTAATTCCACTTGTGCAAGACCAAATTAAAATTTTCAAGGTATAAATACTATAATACCCTTATTTATTAAAAAAATAAAAAATTCCAAATATGCAAGACCAAAAATTCAAAAACACAAAAAACCCTATCACAAGACCACAAAATCACAAGACCAACTATCATCTTCTCCATCTTCCAAAACTCACAAGACCTTTCTCCTTCCTCCTCCATTAACCCCCAAAACCTAGAAATTCAAAATCATCAAAACTCAACAAATCTTACAAAGATGGCAAGTATGGAGTCAGAAGACATCAAAATAGAAGATTCTACGATGGAAGAACCCAATAATGTATGCATTTATGGGTTTTTTTTAGCTAGAATATCGATTTTCCAAAAAAAATCCCGCGCAAACGAATTCGACATGTACAGGTCGAATTTTACAGGTAAAAATCGACATTTAGATGTCGATTTTGAGGTATAAAATTCGACATTTAGATGTCGATTTTGAGGTATAAAATTCGACATTTGAATTTGTGCTACAAATTCGACATGTCAATGTCGATTTTTACCTATGAAATTCGACGCTTAAGTGTCGATTTGTAGCATAGTTTTTCGACACCTTGGTGTCGATTTTTGTTTTTTTCTCATTATTTGTATTTGGTCTTATATGAGAAAAAAAAAAGCCAATTTAATTTATGGGCATACTTGTCATTCCATCTTAATAAAATAGAATCTTTTGGAATCTTTCTTTAATTTGGTCTTGCACAAGTGGAATGAGTATTGCATATAGCCGCAGCCTTTATGTTTCCACACTAATCCCTAGTCTAAAGTTCTAAACAAAACTAAGGTGGTGTTTGCAAATGCTTTTTGAAAGTGATTATGCGGTTTTTTTTTTCTCATAATCTGTTTTTAGGTGTTTGCAAAATCAACTTTTGTTTTTGCTATCTTAAAATAATCTGCTTTAAGCTATTTTTTTAAAAGCACCCCTAACCCTGCTTTTTCAATTTTAGTAGGGCTGGGACTTTGGGATCGGGATTCGGGATCCCGTCCCGTCCCGAATGGAATTTTACTATTTGGGACTAAAACTTCGGGAATTCGGGATTACGGGATTCGGGATCGGGATTAGAAACAAATACGGGATTGGGATCGGGAATTGGTTCAATCCCGATTGTGATATTTTAATCCCGAATTAGGAATTAAGAAAAAAAAAACTAATAAAACCCCACACACACACACACACACATATATATATATATATATATATATATATATATATATATATATATATATATATATATATGAGAAATACAATATAATATCGTTTCAACTTATTTTTAAAATTTTAAAATTTTATTTGTTCCAAGTTTTGTGGTAAAACTAAATAGTGCAAGAACAATAGTATGTATATATATATATATATATATATATATATATATATATATATATATATATATATATTCAAATTGGTTTAGTGTATAAAATAACACTAATGGAAAAAAAACAATATTTCTTAGTGTTTTAGGCAAAATATGGGATTCCCGATCCCAATCCCGAATTCCCGAAATATTTAGGGATACCGATATTATCGGGATTTAATAGAATGGGACGGGAGTGGGATTTAAAATTTCTATCCCGAATCCCGAAATCCCGATCCCGAAAATCCCGAATTCCCGAAATCCCGTCCCGAACTCACCCCTAAATTTTAGTTCATTTTCCGAAATATTTGCACACACTCACAACTTTTAGAAATAAGCACTTAAATCTAACTTAAATCACAATCACTAACTTCTACTTTTAAATAATTATTTGCAAACACCACAGGAGGAAAATAAAATAGAAATAAAAATTAAAAACACTATGAAGAAAAATATCTCAGATTCCCAAAGTCTTCCCAGTACTACTAGCTAAAAGTTTTCCCCTAATTACCAAGTACTGTACCGTATGCACTGGAGAGAGGATTGACGGGTAAGAGAGATCTTACAGCGAGCGTGCCTCGCACAGCTGAGGCGAGCTCCACCAATCAATGGCTGCTGCTTCGCCATTGCGCCGGTGGCCGCTCAACCACACGACTACCACGGTTTCTCTCTCCTCCTCCACGAGTTTCCCACTCTTTTACACGAAACGCCGTCGTATTATTCCGTGGTCTTCAAATTTCAACTATTCTTCATCTTCTTCATGTGGCTGTGGTATTAACAATGGTTCGAGTAATGCGACAAAGAAACTCAGAAGAAAACCAGTCGAAACAATCGCCGTTGATTCGGATACTAAAGAAGTGCACAATTTTTTATTGAACGGTGAAAAAAGGTTGGGTTTCAGATGGTTGTTCGGAAAGCGAGCATTGTGGCGGAGAATATTCTTTCTGTCACCGAAAGTAAGGGGCATCATTTTGCTGAACGCAATCACACTTGTTTACGGTGAGATTCTTAAAATTTGTGATTTTTCGTATGATTTTTTTTCGATTTTATTTGGTTTAGTAGTTTTAGTCATTCCGTGGTAGAACACTTGATTCGTGGTGTGTTTATTCATTGGATTCAGAAAATGATATATGTGATATAGAAAATTTATGGGTTCCCCCTTTTGTGAAACCAATTTTTTTTCTTGAAAGTGTTACTTTTAAATCGATTATCGTCACCCCGTCTTAATTATGTAAATGCGATTTCTTTTGAATGTATACTGTTCTTGGTATATGCAATGGAATATGTATGCAAATCTTGTGAGAGCCGAACAAATATAATTTATAATTTGCTCTAAACTTGTGGTGGTTGAAAATATTGTAGATATTAAGCATTTAGTTGAGGTGGTCATTCAACAGAAAACTTGATATTTGCTGAGTAGGAAACTATTGTCTAATATCCAAATTATATCCAAATTATTAAAGACGATTATCGATTATCTTGAGATATCTCTGCTTTAACTAAATATATTACGATGTTAAAAAGTTAAATTAACTTATCATCTGCGACAATGTTGCAGCCAGTAACATTCCAATTGTGAAGGAAGTTGAAGCTATTATTGATCCAAAGGCCTTCACCGTGGTCCGATTTGTTTTGGCTACAATCCCGTTTATCCCGTTCGTATACTGGGCTAGAAGTGATGCTCATACTCATCGTGCAGGGATAGAATTGGGATTTTGGGCTAGCTTAGGGTACATCCTGCAAGCGCTTGGACTTGTCACGTCTGAAGCTGGACGGGCGTCGTTTATTTGCATGTTCACTGTAAGAACATCTTGTACGAAACTGTCTGAATATTATATATAGTCGATAATTTTTTTGTCAACTGTAAGAAGATCTTGGTAAAATGACGTTCAGGTAATTGTTGTGCCGTTGATTGATGGCATGCTTGGATCTGTAATACCTGCTCGTACCTGGTTTGGAGCTCTCATGTCTTTAGTTGGGGTTGCTATGCTTGAGTCGAGCGGATCACCTCCGTGTGTACGTATTTTTTTGTTTATTTTCATGAATATATATATTTGGAATAAAATCTGATGCAAAGTGTTTATTTTTGTTATTGTTGCTTACAGATTGGAGACTTGTTAAACTTTTTAAGTGCTGTGTCTTTCGGGATTCACATGCTAAGAACTGAGCATATATCAAGGATTCACATGCTAAGAACTGAGCATATATCAAGAAGTACAAAACGAGAGAATGTCCTGGCTCTCCTTGGATATGAGGTTAGTGAATATATATATATATATATATATATATAACTTGTGCAGTTTTACTTCCATTTTATTATCGTTGTCATGTAAATTCGACTATGGAATTCTCTAGGTATGCGTTGTTGCGCTTCTATCAACTGTTTGGTATTTTGTCGAAGGCTGTTTCGGTGGTGGTATTCTAGAATCAAATCCATTTTCTTGGACATGGGCTACAGTTTTGGATTGGATTTCATCATTTCCTTGGTTACCTGCACTTTATACTGGCATTTTTTCGACTGGCTTGTGCTTGTGGGTAGAGGTACGTTTTCTTGATCTTTCTATAGCCCTTATTGAACTGAGTTGCTATAACAATTGCGTTTCTCAAGTAACAAATGTGTTATCTTAATTTATATTCCAATTAGAAATTGGATTTATTAGTATGTTACTGGTTTCTTTTGTCATTACACATGCATACAAAATATTACAAAATTAGATTTGGAGATTCAGAGCGAATATTCCATGGCATTTTCAAGATTCCGTTACTCATAACTCCGTAAAAATGTTTTGTAAGACGGAGAAATAGCCTAGGGGTATTTGTAATTACCAAAACCACAGGGATTTGTTAGTTATTTAGTCTTAACTTAGGGTGCCCGTAATTTACCATTTTTTTAATTGTTGGGGTTTGAAATCTCCATCATCTAATTTGTTTGATGTGGAAATTACTATGTCCAGATGTCTGCCATGCGTGATGTTTCCGCGACAGAAGCTGCAATTATATATGGATTGGAACCGGTATGGGGTGCTGGATTTGCTTGGTTTTTTCTTGGTGAGAGATGGGGTCTCGGTGGATGGATTGGAGCTGCTCTTGTGCTCGGTACAACACTCTTTCCTTTTTCTTCGATATGCGTATTCAGTTTATCCCGATGTATTATTAAGCACCGATTATTATTGCATCTGAAAATATACAACTCAATTTGGTAGTTAGTCCTCGAATTGCAGAGCCATATTATCTTGTCAAACCTCCTCTTGAAAATGTTTTTTTTTTTTTTAATAACAGAGATGGTCCTGCTTTTATAATATGATTTCGATTTTCGACTAAAATAGTAGGGATTGTGCTTCTGCTTGGTTGGCTGTATAGATACTAAAAACTAACTAGATGAATCAACTTATTTTTCTGCTCGTATGTTATCTTTTCTAAGTCAAAGAAAGAAATTTAATCGGGACCGGGGTTGTATTACATTTTAGACTTGTTTCTGTTTAAACGAAAGGACTATGTCCAATAATTAACATAGTTTATATTCGAGATTATACTAAAATGTTTATCTTGTAACTATCTTCTGGCAGGTGGAAGTTTAACAGTGCAGATAATGGGAGGAAAATCAGATTCTTTGTCAAGAGGCAACGAAATCGGGATCCGGGACAATAACGATTTTTTGATTTCAGATAAGATAAATAGTCTTTCTGCATCTCCTGTTGTTGTTAAGAGTAGAAAAGATTCATCCGACTTAATAAAAAAATGAATACATAAACTTATTTATTTATCTTTTTCTTGAAAATAAATAAAAAAATAATTTAGGATTCAAAGTTGAAACTGATAGCAGCAGTACCTAGTGTACATGTACATTGCCAGGTGATATATTCCGACCAATGAGATAGATAAACATGAGTAACCCTCGGAGCTTTATTTATTTACATTAATGTATGTATTAAGGCAATTTTGAGAAGGAACTTAAAAGAGTATTTTTCTTCTTTTTATCTTTACACAATTACACCCATATGTAGTAGCGGAGCTATTACTAGCAAATTTGTATTCTCCACGGCTATATATACACAAAAATTATATGTAGGGTTCAAAATTGAGAATACTACACTAGAAAAATAATATTCTTAATTTTTATTTCAAATAGTAAGTTTTGAAAAGGAGAGGGGACTCATGGCGCGCCATTGCTCTATAGCTCCGCCAAATAAATATTTAGGAAAATAGATTTGTTCCATGTTACACTCTGCAAACTTCGTCGGATGTAGCATACAATAGACCGGAAAAAAGGGTTATGTATTTATATTTTTCCTTTTTGGGTAGCTCTAAACTTTAAGGCCTCGTTTGGTTGCCAAGATAAGATTAGCCAAGATAAGATTAAATAATCTAAAGAAATCCAATTATTTTATTGGAGCTTGGAAGGTCCAACAAAAGAACATGTTTAGAAGGCAAGATAAGCCATGATACGTCACGATAACATAATATTTGCGGACCCAGTAAGTTATTGGGGATACCAAACATCAAAAGTCCTACAATTTAATTAATTATGGCTAATCTTTCCAACCAAACAAGACCTAAGACTATTATTTTATTTTTAGGTAACTTATGCATATCTCCCGAGGTTAGATATATTTACAACTAGACCCCATATATTTGAAAGATTAGGCATACCTACCTTGAGGTTGATATTAGTTAACACTTAACTAATTTGATCATTAACTTTTATGAAATTCTATTTTATGCTTGACCAAATATTAATTGAATTAAAGTGCTGTCCCCAAGGTTATATCTAATTATATATTGATCTCTTATATATCAGAAATATTACAATTTACAGATTTCTTCTAGCAAGTTTTGTTTCTTCCTGAAAGTTTAATTTTAACTAAAAGCACAACTTGAACTCATTAAATAGTATTTTTATTTTCACTAAGATATTATGATTAAATGAAGAGCTTTTTTTTTTTTTTTAATATATATATATATATATATATATATATACATACAAATATATATATATATATAAACAAATTGAGATAACTGTACATTGTGAATAAATTTCAAGGGAAAGGTAAGGGAAATTTTAAACTTAGAGAGCTTAAAAATTAGGGAGTATTAGTGAAAACCCCCAATATATTTGGGTATATGAGGGTGGATCCATCCCCTTTTGTGGTATCACTGGTATTTGAAAGAATTTATGGTCCCGAATTCGTTTAATACAGAGATGTTGTCTTAAGTGTTATGACACTTAAATAAACATGCAGCGGAAAAATAACTATATAAAGACAATACTCAGATATAAAAATGTTCACAAGTAAAAACTTGTGAACTTGCCCTTTACAGGACGGAAAAATTATATTAAACAAACAGTATTCCAAGAATACAAATAGAAGATGTACGAAAACTTATTCCTTATGAATGAATCGTTCTCATGATCATTCTTACGTTCAAATCTAGAAACAAAAAGAGAAATATTAAAAATTCTAGATTTCAAATAATGTACTCGTAAGGAGTACGTAAAGAACTTCTTTATTATGAATGAATCACTATCTTGATCATTCTTACAACCAAGTCTAGAAACATATATACTAAACAATCTAGACAACAAAGAATGTACTTATGAGAAGTACGTAAAGATTGTACTCATGAGGAGTATAACCAACCGATTCTAAAAACACACTAAAACAGTCATGTATTCTTTTCAGCTCTCGGTGTTTTTTTTTTCTTGGAATCGATCATCTTCCTTGAGTATTGAAGTCGGTATTTATAGGCATTCCAAGCATCCACTCCTCAGCCCATGATCTGCAAGAAAACCAACTACAAGAGCACTCAAGAACATGGGTTAGTGGGTTAGTTGGGTAGTTAAAATAATATCCACAATTTAACCCACTAAGCACTACTTAGCCCACTAAGCACTATACTTAACCCACTAAGCACTACTTATTCCATAACTAAAATTTAATTAGAAAATAAGAAAGTTAAAACAAAATGTGGAAATAATCCACGTGTTTCAGTATTAGTAAAACCCCCTAATTGTTTGATTAAATAAATATTTTAAATAATTATGAATAATATACCTATATTACCATCATTACATAACACTAACTATTTTCTAACTCAGCCACCTATTCTTTTTTTCTCATCAATTACTTTTTTTTTTCCTTCTTTTTTTCTTCTTTCTCTTCCTTCCCCATAAGCTCCCGCCATCTCTTCCCCTTCCACCTGTTATTTATATGGTTTTCGAGACACGAATTTTTGAAGATAAACAGAGAAAAGTCGAGGCAAGAACTTTGTTCTTTCTCCTTAAGACAAAATTGCCCCGCAACAGTGCTTCGGTTTCGGCAATTGTCTCCCAAGATACAACGACTTACAGTTCCAACAGAGCAGCACAACAACTGCTGGAACACAACGAACGAAAAGACGTTTTGGACTTTTATTGACACGAAAGAAAGATATTATGCAACGAATATGCTTATGCTTATGAATGCTTGGATGGTTTAGTGAGATTGCTGGAAAACTAGGGCTGTATTTATAGTTTTCAGAAAGTTGCGTTCCAAAAAACACAACTCTAGAAATTGAAAGGAGCTGAAAAAGCATTGTGTCTTTTCGCAGGGGTTAAACACCAATTCGTGTTTAAACTGCCACCTGTTCGGATATGATGCTAGATTAATTAATTAAGCCCAAAAACTTAATTACTTTGAGGCCCAAAACGGACCCAACTCCAAACCAAACATTTCCAAAGTCCAAAGTCCTCGGACACGGGCTCGGGCTCGGTCCGGGCGGGCAGCGGCGGCGCGCGTGTGGTTTGGTACTTGATCCCTCACTTGATTATACCTCTAGCTATCCATTTAACACTATTTAAAGTGTTCTCATTAATGCTTTTTTCGTGATGTGGGACAAGTGACTTTTCACCTCCCACCAAGCCCTTTGAGCTCACTTTAGCTCATTGAAGTACTTTACTTTGTGCATTTATTTCTCATTCATCCCATATTGGATTTGAGCATTTAAACACACTACAATTATCTACTCAAAGCGTAGATTCATAATTTATTCCTTGAAACGATCACGGAATTTGTACTTCAATATTTTCCACATTTGAGGTAAACACCTCAATTTTCCTACAATCCCCCACATGAATGAGAATAATGCATGCAGACACTTAAAGTCCAAACGATTTGTTATTGCATCGGGAGAGGTAGCTTATGGCTTTGAACCTTCCTTAGTAATATGTTGTTGGATTTACTTGTTGTTTAGTGAACGTGATGTCTTGAACTAATCAACTTTTTGTGTAAACCAAGGCAGCAACATTTACACAATAACATTTCTAACGTCTTTTGTTCTCACGTGTTGTCCCTTTCGGCCTTGGACCACTCTTGGATTCGTAAGTGTTTCATCGAAGTGGCCCTATACTTCACACTTACATAGGTGATCTCCTAAAAGAATATCCTGTCATATTCCACCTTAAAAGGTCATATGAATCATTAAAAGTCACTTGACTTACCCTTACCACACTCGACAGGTAGCACTTGGATTAGGGAATGGTAGAAATAATTTTCCAAGTGCACAATTTGAATTTCCATAACTTAGTTTGCCCATTGAACCAAGATTTTGGGATCTCCAATCTACAAGGTTGGGTTACCATCATGGATTTTCTTTATTTGTTGGTTTTTTTTAGACCCATTCCCATCACTAACTTGCACATTTGATCTCTATTGATTCCTTTCGTCAAAGGATCGGCCAAATTATCTTTTGACTTCGTAAAGTCAACTGAGATAATCCCATTAGAGATCAATTGCCTTATGGTGTTGTGTCTTCGACGGATATGTCTAGACTTACCATTGTACATTGTGTTTCGAGCCCTTGCTATCGCAGATAAATTGTCACAATGAATCATTACTGCGGGCACAGGTTTCGACCAACAAGGAATATCTTCTAAGAAATTCTGAAGCCACTCGGCTTCTTCACCGGCTTTATCTAAAGCTATGAATTCGGATTCCATTGTGGATCTCGCTATACACGTTTGTTTAGAAGATTTCCATGAAACGGCTCCCCCACCAATCATGAATACATATCCACTCGTGGATTTGGAGTCGTTCGTATCTGATATCCAGTTTGCGTCACTATAGCCTTCTAGCACAGCTGGATATCTTGTATAATGCAATCCAAGGTTTATGGTATGCTTTAAGTATCTAAGTACTCTAGTGATTGCTTTCCAATGATCTTCACTTGGATTGCTCGTGAATCGACTTAATTTGTTCACGGCATATGCAAGATCGGGACGAGTACAATTTGTTAAGTACATTAGACTTCCTATGATCTTTGCATATTTAATTTGAGAGACAGCATCTCCTTGATTCTTGGCTAGATGTAAAGTCAAGTCCACTGGTTTTTTTGCAGGAGAACTCTCAAATGCATCGAATTTCTTAAGCACAGTTTCAACATAATGAGATTGTGTTAAGACAATTCCATTTGGTGTCCTAGCTATCTTGATTCCCAAGATAACATCGGCTAGGCCCATGTCCTTCATGTCAAAATTATTGTTTAACATGTTCTTTGTTTTCACGATAATATCGTGACTGCTCCCCATGATTAACATGTCATCTACATATAAGCAAACAATTACAAAATCGTTTGTTGAACCTTTAATGTAGATGCATTTATCACATTCATTTATTTTGAAACCATTTGATAGCATAGTTCTATCAAATTTTTCATGCCATTGTTTAGGTGCTTGTTTGAGACCATATAATGACTTCACAAGTTTACACACTTTTTTCTCTTGACCGGGAGCCACAAACCCTTCATGTTGTTCCATGTATATTTCCTCATCGAGGTCACCATTCAAGAATGCCGTTTTAACATCCATTTGATGTATCTCAAGGTTGTTCAATGCTGCAATAGCAATGAGCACACGTATTGAAGTGATTCTTGTCACAGGCGAATACGTGTCAAAGAAGTCATATCCTTCTTGTTGTCTAAATCCTTTAGCTACTAATCTAGC